TTTTACTCAGCAACAGCAGCAGCAGCAGCAGCAGCTACAGCTTCAGCAACAGCAGCAGCAGCAGCAGCTAAAACTGCAGTCACAGCAACAACAGCTGCAACCACAGCAACAGATGCAGCCTCCACAGCCGTCCTTACAACCACATAAGTTGCAGCAACTTGCACAACAGCAACAGCTTTATAATGGTAGTTCACAAGCGCAACAGCTACAAATGGCTTCAGCTTCAATAACAAGCAATACAATCACGCCAAGCCTCATTGTCAGTCAAAGCTTTCAACAGTCTCAGCATCAGCAAACACAAATGCCTTTAGTCACTAGCAACAGCCAACAGCCAAGTCAGGGTAGTGTAAATGAAACCGGCAAGACTTCATCTAATTTGACGACCATACCGCAAGACTCGCAGTTTCAGCCGCGGCAAGTAGAACAGCAAATTTCGGGAATGTTACAACAGTCGTTACCACAGAAAGCTCACCAGGCTCAGGTTCAACAGATATTCCAACAAGGCCTCTTGGACAACCAACCGCATCTACAGTTTCAGTTGCTGCAGAAATTGCAGCAGCAACAACAACAGCAACAGCAACAGCAACAGCAACAGTTGCTTTCACCGGGAAGCTCGCTCTTACAGTCTCAGTTGTTACATCAACAGTTGCAAAACCAGCAACTGCAACAACTTCCGTCCTGTAGCAACAGCTTATCGACATCGACTCTACCGCAATCCATGCAGATTCCGGCAAGCCAGTCTCAGGACAAGCAGAAGCTACTTGAAGGGATCAAACCTTACCCGGGTATCATGGATGGGGACCCGCCTTCCTGTTCAACGTCGCCTTCAACTAACAACTGTCAGGTCTCTTCATCAAACTTGCTCAACAGAAGCCAAAGCGGGCCAGCTGGTTTGGCACCCGACGCAGTGTCCGATGTGTCAGGTAATCTCGTTCACGAGTTTTACAACAAACCCGATATGAGATTGAAGCAAGACCTCGCAAGTTCCCGAGGCTCTGACCCGCAGAAGTTTAAGGTTGGAGTAACAGATCAACTCGAAGCAGCATCCGCATCCGGAACATCGTACTGTCTGGATGGCGGAAACAAGCAACGGAATTTCTCTGCCCCCGCCTTTTGTCTCGACGGAGATGCTGCCCAATCACATCCAAGGAACGGTTTACTTCCCGGAGCTAATGTCGAAAGCTTTGTCCCCGACACCTTTCTTTCGAGGGGATATGATTCTCAGAAAGATCTTCAGAACTTGCTCTCCAGTTATGGAGGAACTACTAATGACATTGGTACGGAGATGTCCACTTCTGCTGCGAGAACTCAATCATTTGGAGTTCCAAACGTTCCGGCAATATCAAACGATGTAGCTGTAAATGATGCTGGAGTTTTGGGCGGTGGGTTGTGGGCCAATCAGACTCAAAGAATGCGAACGTATACGAAGGTTAGTAGTTGCAGGACTAACCTCTTTTTTATCTTTTGTTCAATTTATTAGGGGTGGAGGTGGGTCGGGTACCGACTTTTTTCTGCATATCAGACCTCGATGTTGTCCCCTCGGGTTTCCCACCGACCTATCCGGACTTGGCCCCTCGGGTACCCGAGTTTCATGTACCCGTGGGATGCAGCGAGGGCTCGGGTATCCAGGCGGCGAGGTTACGAAGGTGGTGAGCCTCACTCGGCAATGTCGTGAAGACAAAGATGAGAGGTAAGGAAAGACTTACCCGACAACTGGCGAGAACAAGCGGTGAAGGCGAGACGAGCGACGAGGCGAGGGGTCTTTCGGGCCGCCCTTGAAGATTCGATCGAGACACTAATTTCTCTAGTCTGATTTCAAAACAATCAGATTCAATTATCTGAAATATCGAATCTCGAAACTTCTATAAGAACCCTAATGGTCACCTCTCGCTGCCTCCTTGAGTTCGCTCCTCCTGCCATCTCCCTCTCATGTCTCGTTCAGTCGCTCCTCGCAGCCTCCTCAGCCCACAAACCTCCCCCTTTCTCCCCCTCGGTTTGGGTTACCCGTGGGTACAGATAATTGGCCGACAAAACGAACCAGCGGCTTGGGCCACTGGTTCCTGATGCCGTGCACCTGATCCCGTGTTCGTCGTGGCTCGGATTCTGCGGAATAGATGCCCGTGGGACCCATCTTACCTGTACTCTGACCCAGCCTTACAATTTATATCCTGCACGTGCTCATCTTATTACTTGGTTTGACATTGTCTTGAATCATTACAGGTACAAAAACGTGGTTCAGTAGGAAGATCGATAGATGTCAACAGATACCGAGGTTACGATGAGCTCCGGCACGATCTTGCCCGTATGTTTGGCATCGAAGGACAGTTGGAAGATCCACAAACATCCGACTGGAAACTGGTCTATGTTGATCACGAAAACGACATTCTACTCGTCGGGGATGATCCTTGGGAGTAAGTAGACTTTATCCGTCTCGTATTTTCATGTATTCAACGGAAAAAACACTTGCTTTCTCTAATCTCGGGTTCCGCTTAAATCGGATTGCAGAGAGTTTGTGAACTGCGTTCAAAGCATAAAGATCCTTTCTTCGGCCGAAGTTCAACAGATGAGCCTGGACGGAAACTTCGCCGGTTTATCTGTTCCTAATGAAGCATGCAGCGGCGGTGACAGCGGGAACGGTTGGAGAGGTCACTACGGCGACAATTCGGCCGCCTCGTTTAATCGGTGAAAGATAAAGATTGTCAGAGATTCTTTCCCAGTTTGTAACATAACTGGTTTCAAATTGAGTGGAATTTACACGATAATAGATTATTTCCGAGGGGCAAAAGCTAGTCTAGTCTGTGTCACTGTGCCCGGTTTGCATGTCAAGCAGGAAACCTACAACGGGTTGAGTTCGAATTTCGTCGGCTAATCAACAACGGGAGAGGGCGAGCTGACGAGGGATCTCGTTGATACTCAAAACTCATATATCCAACCTCTACAAGACCGATAATTCGACCGAAAAACCCATCCTCTTGACTAAGGCTGAATACGTGAAAAATTTCGAATACCCGACCCATACCCATCCTTAAAAGACAGGAGCAAGACACATCATATGACATCGACATTTTTGAAAATCGGTCTCTGCATTAAGGTAGAAGGCTCAAGCCATTATGAGAAATTTTCCATATTTTTGGATCCAGACCAAAACAACAGCGATTTGCCAATCTTCTAAGCACAACACCAAACTAAGAGAGAATGGCCATCACATCTGAAGCTCTGAGAGCAATGTAGTCGGAACCATCTTTCCCTTTGAAGTCGTTACCCGCGTACTTGGAGTAAAGAACCGTCGTTCCCGCAGATACCGACAGCGGTTTTCGGTTACCTTCCTCGTCTAGAGATCCCGGCCCAACTGCTATGACCTGCAGCCGTGTTAAAATTCGATCACAAGTCTTTACATTTTGTGCATGAATCGATGGAGAGATCGATGAGAAAGCATCTCGGATTCTCGGGCCGTTAACTATTACCGTTCCAATGGAAGGTTTCTCTTTGGTAGTTTCGGTTAGCAACAATCCTCCAGCCGTTTTCTCCTCTGCCTCCGCAACCTGAAAACGTAAATTTCCACTTTAGGTTTCCTCCTCCGTTGATGTTTCGGGGTGTTGAACTTGCGACGGAAAGATAGTCGATAAAGAGAGATTTTTCAATGAAAGGTATCAAAACAAACCTTGATAAAGACCCGATCGTTCAAAGGCTTGAGATCCTTGATATCATCGGTTTCGAGAATGCCCACGATATCGTCTTCCTTAAGAATGAGATGCTTTGATTCGTCAAACTCCACCTCAGTTCCCGCGTACTTGGAGTAGACAACTTGTGTGCCGGTCTACATTCAGAAAAAATAATTTTGTATGATGAGACAGAACACAACGAACAATCTAGGGATGAGCATGGGTCGACTACCCGAGATCTTCGGGTAGGATACCCAAGAAAATTTTAGGATGCCCGAACTGGAGTTTAAATATGAAATCTCGAAATTTTTCAAAATAAATATCATATATTAGGAATCCGAACCCAAAATTTTAGTAGGTTTATATATAATATATCTAAAATCTAAGGGCAAAAAAGTCATTTTACTATTTATTCGGTATCCACCGTAATACTCGGTCTCGAACCCAACTATCCGAACCTGATTTTCGGGGTATCTTTTCATCTCATATAGTGCTTGGGTACCCAAATTTCGGGTTTTTTTTTTTGAGGATGAGAGATGTTAAGGAGAGTGAAAGTGTACCTTAATAGAGATTTCAACTTTCGTCTTCCCGACCGTTCTTCCCTCACCGACGGCAACAACTTCCCCTCCTTGAGGCTTCGATTGAGCGGTAGACGGAAGTAAGATGCCTCCCACAGTCTTTTCCTCTGTTTCCTTGATCTTAACCAACACTCTATCCCCCAAAGGCTTAACCGAAGTAAACTGCAAATTTCATACAGAAAACAAAAAGCAAAATGAACGAGAGAAACCTAGCACTGATCAAAGCAATAGACAATGGCTAACTTAACTTAGAAGACGAGTACACTTATTTATTACGATGACACAAGCTAAACTGAATTCGATATCAGACACATTGCTATTCAGAGACCGAACTTGCATATGAATCTAGAAAGATCTAAACTATAATATCCGCCGATATCAAACCGGGTGCATTGCAGGCAAGATGGAATCATTATAAAATCGGTGAAACCTTGAAGAACCCTGATGAAAGCATTCAACAATATCCATTGAGTCACACATAAAAAAGGTATCGAAACATTCAGGCAACTTCCACACGATCACTCGAATGCCCATCCAGACTTCGAAGCAAGCGAAATCACATGCGGAGAACAGAAGCTAAGAAACGAGCATCACCTTAGGAGCAACAACCGCAGCAGCGTTGACGACCAAACCACGGAAGTGGTTTCTCTTAAGACCTCCTAGTTTCACACATCCGCCGAAAGAAGACAATTTGACATTCGTGGGTTTCAGACCTTCGAATGAGGCCAAGCTCTTGGCAGATACTGTCACCGATGATGCTGTTAAATAGGTTGTCGCCATTTCTGCAATCCGAACAAAACACAGAAAACCCTCTAAATACCCTTCAAGCTCTAACTACAAATGTGGGACCTTTTCCCTGAGATTCTTAATATTATCTAAATTCCATTACAAATTCAGTTCAAGCCCAATCGCCATTGCAGAAATCAGATTACACGAGTTTCCTATCGTTTGATTCGAATTTGGGTTAAATCGAGATTAACAAGAATGTTAAAATCGAAGATTAGAAATTTCATACCTGGGAAAAGGGAGAAACAGATTAAGAATTGGACGGGTAAGGGAGGTGGAGAAAGATCAAACCCTAAAAATGCGACACTTTGAATTGAAGTTGCAGTGAGACCAAAGTGAGAGACCCGTCTATTATCCGTTAGCAGGCAGAGTTCTAGAACCCTCTATGCCTCACGCGCCTGAGCTGGGTGGGTTTCAATTTCTAACCCAACGGGTCGGGTCGATCCGAATTTCAGATTTTGTTTGTTTTTTTAATAAAGATTTTGGGGTTTCATTGAAATGGCCCCTCCTTTGAGATGGATTTTTTTTTTCATGATTTTTGGATGGATAGACTAGATTTGATCAATGATAAATTGATTTTAAGAAAAATCAAGTTGAATAAAAATTTAAATAGAGTTTTTTAAAATTTGGTTCAATTTTTACTAATACTATTGGAGTTGATTTTAACGATGATAATTCGAGAATCAGTAAAATTAAAAAATCTACATACTTATATATTTCTTAATATATAATTAACTATATACATCATTATTTAATTCAATTGATCTTATTTCATTACACAAAATACTCATCTTATTTCTTTTCATTTGAACAGAAAAATTCCAAGAACAAACACATTTAAAAATGGCCAAATTTTATTAATTAACATAAACTTACTTCCATAATCCTAGTTTATTACAATCTTGATGCAAAAAGTCAAAAAAATCCAAAGATAATCAAATAAAAAAACTTAACATACAGCTTCAACGACTAAACTCTTTACCGAATCTCCACAATCTGCAGCTCCAAACATCTTGGAAGAGGCTTCGAGTTGACATGTCATTTTTCCGATACATTCCTCGGTGACAAGTTTCAGAGCATCTTTATCTCCTTCACATGTTCCTTTTGCAAACGACCCACACTTCCCTGTTGGATTACCGAAATTAACGAACTTAATATCTGAGATCTTCTTGCCATTGCATGAAAGCTCGATCACGTTGTTCTCATCAGCCTTTGCACAGACTGAACCCACACTCATCGTCTTGAAGCTCGCCATTGTCGGATCTCCACCCATTTCTTCGAGGAGTGCGAGAACGTTTTCACCGTTCTCGTTGAGGAATGCTCGTGGAACGTGGTACCTAGAAGTATATTACAGTTAATTAATTTGTATCTTTTCGAGTAAGAAGTTTGAAAACGTGGTTCGTTTTTTGGGGGAGAGATTTCTTACAGTGTTTGAGTCGGTTCGCCACATTTAAATGTGCATTTGTTGCTGTCGTAAGGGCCACGATAATCGCATTCGTCACTGCAGCCATCGTCCGAAGCTTTGAAACTCGGCCAGTACCGTCCAATGCTCTTACCATTGATCCATGCCTCACCTTTTCCGAGTCCGTGAAGGTCCACAACCACTGGATCGCTTCCAGAAGGAGTCTTGAACGATGTCTGAATCAATGTTTTCGAAGAAATATAAGAAGAATTGTGTTCTTTCAGTGTGATTGAAATTAGAGTAAGTAATGGGAATCTAAAATCTCGAGTTTATGACTCCCCACGAGTCGAGTGTTCGATATCAGACCGAAAATTTTGTTGTTGAATTTCTTACCTTGTACCATGTGAGCATTCTGGATGTGGGGAGTTTTTCTGTCGACCATTTGAAGTTGCTGCCAGAATCTGGGCTGAAAACTTTGCTCTCAACACCGTTTAATCCGACCTTGTATTCCCACGGATGCGCCGAAAGATCTTTTTCGATTCTCTCATCGCCTTTGTATCCGACTATCATCACCGGACCATTGATTCCGGCCGGACTCTTCTCAAAGAACGGTCCATAGTTCTGAAAAGAATCACTTCATTAACATTTTGAGTTGAAATAATGATCATGAAAACTACTTATGATGATTTTTTTTCCCGACCTGGAATCCAACGGTGACACTGAGCAGCGCTATACGGTTAGTCCCGGGAGCAAGTTCGATGCTTTTCTCGAAATCGTAGTCATATTTTCCGTCTTCCACGAAATGGGTACCTGAAAAAGTTTCACACTTTGAGATTTGTACCATTCAATGTGTTCATCAGGAATTAATAATTTCAAAACATTACTAGAGTACTACTCACCAACGTGTTTTCCATTGACGTAAGCATGAAGAACGTGAGCGTTGCTATGTACACGAAGACTCATGTTGCGGCTCCAGATCGGGTCATCCTTTTCGAGACGAACCCTGATCCGATATCGGAACGTTAACAATCATAACGAAGATTACGAAAACTCGGTTGATATATACGGAAAAGAGTTGATATATATATATATATATAGTTCTGTTCATTACCTGGTCATGTACCAAAGATAGTCACTAGCATCATTAGCAAAGTCTTTCTGATCGAACAGGTAATCCGCAACCACGTCTCCTTTGCCTTTAACGATGGTTTGCTCCGCGATCTCGGGCCTCCAGCTCCATCGAATCCCGCCAACATCGGCATCTTGAGTAGCCATAACCGATTCTTGAGTGTTCACCTGCAAAGATTCTCTATATTATTCCGAATTCTCATCGACGAAAGAACGAGTTTTCGGACAGAAAATACAAGATTATTCTCACCTTTGCGGTGTTGTAAGCCACGTTCTTGCAGTCGGGAAGAACGCTGACCGACCAAGCCGGGACGCTGTACTGATTCCCTTGGAAGCTCACCAATGCATCGGCCGTCGTGTTAGAGTTGCTGATAAAGCAGCTCGACCCTTCTTTCATCGCGTAAATCGTCGCCTTTCGAACAGATTCATCATGCCAAAAACGTCATAACGACGATACGGAAAAGCTAAAATGAGGGGAGAAAAGGCGGTGTTCTTACCGTTACGTCGTTTCCGAAGTCGATATCGGATATGTTTCCGTAAGTGAGAGACTTCTCCATCGATTTCAACACGTTGTGGAGCTGTTTCAAGTGTCCCCATTTCGGTTGGTTCAAGTTACCTTTACAAAATCGATGAAACCAAAACATAAGAAACCGTACTTAATATATCGATCGATATGCAATATTTACCCGGAAAAACGAGCGAATTACATACCGAATTCATCGAGAGGAGCATGGTAATCGTATGAAGTAGTTATGTATGGACCTCCTGCTGTTCTTCCAAAGTTGGTACCACCGTGGTACTGAAAACAAAAAGTTCGAATTCGAATCAAAACGTTACAAACATTTTAAATAAATTCGGACAAACTGATGTTAAGACAAGAGTATATATTATACTGTCATGATCATGTATACCATGTAATAGTTCTGGAAGGTTCCACCGGTTTGGAAGAAGCGAGCGACGGCGTAGGAAAGATCTTCGGCTGTTCTGAAAGGGTGTTTCCCTCCCCAGTTCTTGAACCAACCGGTCCAGTTTTCGGTCCACATTTTCGGGTTGCTCGGGTTTGTCGGTTTGTAATCATGACAATAGAATCCGTTGCACGTTTCGATCTACAATACAACGAAAACAAGAAACGGAGATTAAAATCGTCAAATGAAGAAACTTAAAATTCTGCATCTGAATTTTGGATATTGTTTGATCAAGAAACGCACAGATACAAAATCTTGATTTTTTTAGGTTACCGAATCTATATCGACATAGTAGTCGGGTATCTGAATTTCGGGTATATTTTGCTCGGGCCTACTTACCATAGGTTCGGGAGCATCCTTTTCTTGGCACATAATCCACGGAACACCGATATCTAGAGAGTCCGCCATGTTAGAACACCAGTCGATGTAAGCCTTACCCGCTGCTCCATAGGAATCTATCACGTTCCCGTACTCATTCTCGATCTGAAAACGCAAAAAATTTCGATGTTAGATTCAGATTAAGCCGTGATTCAGAAAGTGATATGAACAAATGTATATATATATATATGTTTATATATTATACATATATACCTGAGCAAGAATGATTGGACCGCCTTGTGCAGCAAAGAGATTCTCACGCTTCATCATGTCTACTATCAAAGTTGTGAAGTTTTGCATTTCGTTCTAATAACCAAAAAAACGTCACAAATTCTTAATTCTACGTATTCTGTGGATTCAAAGAAATCAATGTGAGAATTACATAAAAACATAATTAGATACCATGAAATCGGTGTTGGTGGTTCTGAATTCCACGCTGTTCATGTTGTGCAACCACATCGGGAATCCACTGTAACAACCAAATGCAATGTCAAGATTCTATACACACATATACATATATGTATATACATTCATGTATATTATGTGCATAAAGAACTGTGGAACGAACCCGTAATTCCACTCCGCACAAACGTACGGTCCGATGCGGAGAACGGCGTAGAGACCGGCGTCTTGGACGGTCTTGATGAACCGGACGAGATCGAGATTGCCGGAGAACTCGTATTGCCTGCGAGCAGGTTCGTGGGCGTTCCAGAAAACGTACGTCTCGATCGCGTCTAGTCCCCCGTCTTTGGCTTTGTTTATCAAATCCGGCCACATCTATAATATGACCAAAAACAAAACGTTCACGTATGAAAATTGCATGAACACATGCATGCATGTATATATATGTTTATATAGTTTACGTCGGCGGTGCTTCGTGGGTAATGAATTGAACCGGAGATGAGAATTCTGCGCTGTCCATCAATGGTGATTGCCCGTTCGTCGTGAGAGACGATGGTCGAATGAGCAGAAGAAATGAAGAATACGACAAGCAAGAAGGACAAGACAGAAGAAGTGAAGTGTTTCATGTTTTATGCTTTGTCACTCGAGAGAACAAGTGATTTTGGATATGGTGAAGGCTCGTATTTATAGATAAATTAAAAAATATATATATCCAATCAAATCTTTTTAAAATCTATTGAAACTGAAAAATTAAATTGATTTAGCCGATAAATCATGAGAAATATTCAAATGTAAAATAAATCTCAACCTCCCAAGATATTAGTCGTCTAATTACTTGGTCAATCCATAAGTTTGAATTTACCTATTTAAATTGGAGGTGGATTTTTTATACATAATTGAATAAAACCGAATATCATATAATTCTATATTCAAATCCAATTGGATCTGAATTGATTGTGATTACGATTGTATTTCTGTGTTTTTTTTTATAAAATCGATAACACGAATTTTAAAATTATCGAACCAAATGAATAATCATTAATTTTATCCAGACGGCCCGTTTCTATATTTTTTCATGCCATTCTAATATAATGGAAATTACTTTCCAAAATGTGAGGAATTGCTATGAGATTTTGTAAGATTTGAATTTAGATTTTAAATTTAGCAATAAAAAAGGATTTAATCAATATGATTATAAGGTCAGTATGCATACATGCATGCATATTTGAACAATTCGTTAGATATTGGTTAAAATATTTTCGTATATCCTGAAGTTTGTTGATAAATTGGTCAACGCATAACTTTCAAACTATCCAATATTGTTATCAAAAAAATTCAAGCTTAATAAAAAGTTCTAAAACAAACTGTTTACCGAGAAAAATAAAATAAAAAAAATAAAATTTTAGAAATTTTTTTTATAAAATATCGTATTTGAATACCGAAAAAAAATAAAATTTTCGGAAAAAAAAATATAACATTTTTCTCTGTTATTTGTTGAGATTTTCCGTCACTATTATTGCAACAATATTTTTTATCACCTTCTTGCAGCATACCCTCGAACAGTTACTTTTGAGTAATTATAATTATAAAACGAGGCGTTGAATAAATTAATATTTATATAAATGCGATAAGATTGAATTTTAATTAAAAAAAAACAAAATTTAAAATTTAATTTATCTCGAACACTAATAAAACGATTGATCTAATATTATTTGTATTTATAAATTTGATAGAATAAAAGTTTCCAAAATATTCATAATCTCATTAACATTTTTTTTAATATTCAAAAAACATATTACAGTGTTCACTGGTTATATTCTTGTTGAATATATATAAACCGATAAAGGGTAAAAGAGTAACTTCGTATGCGAATCTGAGTCAGCAAAATAAGTGGAGTTACTATGAAGCTGTAGATGTGTGCCACGTTTCCTGCATCCCATCAAAGTGCTCAAGGAATCTTTTCTTTTAAAAGCAAGTGGGTCCCTTTGTCCACGTCAGCTGTCTCCGTTGATTTTGAGGACTGTGCATTTCGGTTCGGTTTTTCGAAACCGGACCGAATCGAACTGTTAAAACGGTATTTTTTTTAATCCGGAACCGCTGTTATTTTCCGAATGGTACCATTTTTAGAGAACCGAATTTTCTCAGAATCGAACCAAACCGAACCGAATTTTAAAAATCCCGAAAAACCGAATATTTTTAAAGGAAATCTATCATTTTTTTTAATAAAACCCGGAATCAAACCGAACCGATACTAAACCCGAACCGAACCGAACCGAATACAATAAAAAACCCGATTGGTACCTATTTTTTAAAATCGAAAGAACCGAACCGATCCATTCCGAACCGTTTCCCGAAATATCCACCCCTAATTTCGACACTTTATTTATTAATTTCTCTTATTTATTTTCTTTTGCAAAATATATTGCGTCCATGGACACCGCATCATTTAATTATCAATTTTAAAACATCTGCATTTTTTTTTTGTATTCTAATTTTAAAATATATTTCAAAACACAGATGCTTCTATAAATAAGCACACAAATTATGTGCAGAGAAAGCAAATTAAGATCACCACAGCTTGATTGATTAACTGTCCTATCATATTATTAAATCGTACAAACATATAAAAAATTGAATTGTAACATCTGTACCAATTTTTAATAAAATATTAATGTGGGTTTTTACGGGGAAAATATGCCAATCATCTTCTAATTATATGACTTAAGCCAAATGACACACACACGCACTAACACAAAATTTATAATTTTCATTATCTCAAAATACATTTGTTACATAATATATTTTTATCATATTTTTGCGATTTTATATTGATGAATGTAATTAATAATTTCCGTGCTATATTTCTTTTGTACTAAAAGTAATTTAATAAAATCTTGTAAAAAATTTAGAGGATAGAAACACAATGTTTAACTTTTATTTGTTGCAGATTAATCTATTATTATGTTTGACACAATATTTCTTAAAATTGAATATAAATTTTAGATTTTGTGTGCCAAAATCTCTTTCTTACTTTCTCTCTCCCCACTTATAATAAGCGCAAGATATATATATATATATGTATGCCCGATTTCACGAATAGAAGTAGAGGAAAAATCTCTCTCTCTCTCTCATCTCTTTCTTTCCTTGTGGAGGTTTCTTCTTCTCCTCCTTGTATTGTTGAATCTCTTCCGAGATGCTCAGGGAAAGAATTCATCCGATGATCGGAAAATTGTCGGAGCTTCTCGTGTCGGTTAACCGATCAACCCCTTTTTCCGATTCCATTTCCATGACGACAGGTCCAAGAACCCCTCTTGATTTCAAGATTTTCCCAAAGATTTCTCCGAGAAACAACGCAAACAGATTCCACGGCCACAATATCGACGGGGTCGGTCTTGGAATCGTCGCGGCACTCGACAATTCCAGCTCGAGAACGAGCGTTCGCCGGTTCGGAGAACACCCGGGTAACCGACCCGGTTCCGATCCCGTTCCCATCATGGTGAACAGCAGAAGATGGAGCGATGATGATAATGATTATACGTATGTGACATGCCATCATGGGGCTGATGGATCTTGTACTAGGGTTTACAGAGATGGGTTCGAGTGTTCCGCAAGAAAGAACCTCGATGAACCGCCGGAAAGTTCGCCGGAGTTTGAGGGTTTGGATTTCCTCAACGCATGTTTCTTGTGCCGGAAGAAACTTCACGGTCTAGACATATACATCTACCGGTAAAAGAAATTAATTATATATATACATATATAAATTATTATTTTTCAAAATAATGAAAATATTTTTATAAAATACATAATCTAAATCATGATTGCTTTTATTTTGTTACAGAGGAGAGAGAGCATTTTGTAGAGACGAGTGTAGATCGGTTTATATAACCAACGAGGAACGAAAAGAGGTGTAGGTCGGAATTTCCTTCATCTCCTGACACCGCCGGCAGAATTTCCCACGCCGGCGTTCTAGTCATTTAGCCCTAATTATCCTGCTTCCGGCAACTATATATATATACACACACACACATACTTTACCCCAAAAAAACTATATATATATATATATTAATAATTCCGAATAGATAGATATGTAAGGCTATATACAGTAAATTATGAGGAAAAAATTGAGAAATTTTGATGATGTGGAAAAATGAAAAGATGACATTGTGCTCTTTGTAAAGAGGACAGTTCATGTTTTTTCTTAATATTGGTTCTGTACGAATTAATTAAATATAAATATTTGTTGGAAGCATTCTTCGTCCAAACCCGCTGATCAGTTTGGAGGCTTCCAAAGCCTCGGAATGAAGCAGAGTCTCTGAGGGGTATTTTGGGAAAGTGTAAAGGACGCGTTATGAGTCCTAGGGTTTTCGGGTTTTCAGAACAGATTGCGTTTTCGGTCTTCTCTCAATTCCAAGAAAAGAAAATTATTGATCTCCTGCCCCCGCCGGCAGAATTTCCCACGCCGGCGTTCTAGTCATTTAGCCCTAATTATCCTGCTTCCGGCAACTATATATATATACACACACACACATACTTTACCCCAAAAAAACTATATATATATATATATTAATAATTCCGAATAGATAGATATGTAAGGCTATATACAGTAAATTATGAGGAAAAAATTGAGAAATTTTGATGATGTGGAAAAATGAAAAGATGACATTGTGCTCTTTGTAAAGAGGACAGTTCATGTTTTTTCTTAATATTGGTTCTGTACGAATTAATTAAATATAAATATTTGTTGGAAGCATTCTTCGTCCAAACCCGCTGATCAGTTTGGAGGCTTCCAAAGCCTCGGAATGAAGCAGAGTCTCTGAGGGGTATTTTGGGAAAGTGTAAAGGACGCGTTATGAGTCCTAGGGTTTTCGGGTTTTCAGAACAGATTGCGTTTTCGGTCTTCTCTCTAGGTTTTCTTCTCTCTCTCTCTCTCTTGGCGAACTTCGGTTCTCCGGTTGCGCTGTAGTCGACTCCGGTCGATTCTCCGGCGTGTTTCTGTGTTGTACCTAGCAAATAGCGGTTCCCTCTTCCCGAGACGTAGGCACCGAGCGTTAGAGCTCGGTACCGAACTCGTAACTCCGGTGTCTCCTTTCTTTTTCTGTTCTTGAGCACACACGAGCGAATCGGAGACGAATCGGTGAGGGATCGCGGTCGAAATACTCTACAAGTGGTATCAGAGCCTGGTTAAGGCGAGGTTCGGTGGATTCGGCGGTCAAGTCGAAGCCGAGGTGAGTCAAGGTACGTCGGTATTTGGTCTGAACTTTCTGATCTGGTGCGTGAGTTGTTTCAGGCGAAAGAAACAAGGTAGTCGAGGCCGTCTCAGTGTAGATCGGCGTTCGAAACCAGCGGAAAAGTTCAGATCGTCGGCGGAGAGAGGTAAGGTTTCCCGGATCTAACTCGATCTGAGTGAATCAGTCGAGTTTAGACTCCGAAGAGGTGAGTTTTTGCCTAGTTCTGGGCTAGATCTAGGTTGGGGAGGGAAAACCGGTGAAGAACCGGTGTTTTCCGGCAGTTTTCGGTCGTGACTCTTTCTGAGTCGCGACTGAGTCGGGAAACGGGTGAGTCAACGTCCGAGTTGACCGGGTTAACTCGGCGGCTACGCTTCCGAAATTAGGGTTTTTCTGGTTTAATCCGGTTTAGCCGGTTAAATCGGAATTGTCTAATTGGACCGGGCTCGATTTAAAATCGAACCGGTTTAGTCGGGTTAGGTCAAAGGTTGACCAGATTTCTGGTCAACAGTTGACCGGGTTAGAAAAACCGGATCGGTTCAGGTCAATTGGACCGGTTCAGGTCCGGTTTGGGGTCAATTTGACCGGTTCAGACCGGTTCGAGTCAATTTAGGTCCGGTTCGGGATAACCCAGACCGGTTTAGGTCAATCTAGGACCGGTTTAGGACAATAGAGTCCGGTTTAGGTCAATTTAGATTGGGATTGGGCCGGTTTAGGTCTGATTAGGGTCTGATTTGTCCAAATAGGGCTGGGTTTGTCCGGTTTAGGGTCTGTATCGATTAGAATAGGTCTAGATTGGTCGGTTTAGGGTCAGGACTGTCTGATTAGGACTTAAATTGGTTGGTTTTAGGTCTGATTGGTTCGATTGGGTTAGATAGAGTCCGGTTCTTAGGGCATTCTGTCTGGTATAGGGTATTTAGGATCTGTATAGGTCGATCTATCCTAGGTAAAGGCAGATTAGATCTGCGGTAGACTTTGGTTACCTGTCTTCAGTCATAGAGTCCAGTAATTCTGTCCGGTTAGGCCTGAATAGGAGGATTTGGCTGAACTAGGTGAGTGAGAAGTCGGTATTAGGGATAAAATCAATAGGTACAGGTCTGTTAAGGTTGATTTTAGGTCTAGATTAGGTCTGATCAGATTTAATTAGGTCGGTTTAGACTTAGTTTAGATCTGATTAGGTTAAATCAAGTCTGATCAGGGGTAGGTAAGTCAATATTGGGTTGATTTAGGTCTGATTAGGACTTAGGGGGACAGAATAGACTCGGTTTAGGTCTGATCTAGGTTGGTTAGGTCAGTGTTAGCCTTGGAGTAGGTCTGATTAGACGTAATCAGGTCTTAGGTAGGCAGGTTTAGAGTCTATTAGGTCTGGTAGGTTGAAAAATACCTAGGTTTAGGTCCTCTTAGGATCGGTCTTGCTCCTTAGGTCTGGTTTTAGGTGCTCCTAGTGTCGGGTTAGTCATTCCCAGGTTAGTTTCGTTCTGGGTAGGTCTAGTGCATCCTCGGGTTAGAGATTAGGTTTCCTATTATGATGTCTGCCCCTCTGTATCGCGGCCTTGACGTCGAGAAGTTCGACGGCAAGGGAGACTTCTCCTTATGGAAGGAGAAGATGTCCATTAGCTTAGAGATCTTAGGGTTAG